TTCTTAGCCCACAAGTGAGCGGGTCTTAAAACCCTGGGCACGAGGTTGATAGATTGCTGGACTCTCACTACCCGGCCCCACCTCATCCCGAACTTTTCAGTCTGAAACACCAATAGAACGGAACTTTATCTTTTTGAGCTGCTGGGTTGATGTGAAAGAGATGCTCACTAAAAAGAGAAACTGGCATGAACCACAGATGTGCTGAAGTCTCACAGATTTAAAATGGATGCCCTCAGAAATACTGATTCCCAAATCCTGAATAAAATGTTAGAAAACAGACTCCCAGCAAATTAGGAAAATAATAAACCATGTCCAAGCGGAGTGTATACAAGAAATGCAAGGATAGGTAAATATTAGAAAAACCTATTAATGAAATTTCACATAGTATTAGGTCTGAGAAGAAAAAAATAGATGCTGAAAGGGTCTTTGGGAAAAAAAAACTTCGAAGAAAACAAAAACAGACATGTATTTCTTTAATGCGCTATACACATATACCTTAATTCCAAAACCAACATTTTATTTAACTGGGGAACCCTAGAGGCATGCCCACTCAGGTCAGAAACAAAGCAAGGACGCCTGCTTTCTCCACCGCTGTTTAACATGGTTCTGAACCAATGTTAAACACTGAGACAAATGAAAACAGAGGCAGAGCAGGAAAAGAAGAAATAAAACTATTTGTAGATGACAAGATAGTACACTTGAACACATACACATTACTATATACAAAATACATAAACAACAAGGGCTTACTGTATAACACAGGGAACTAACTACATTCAATATCTTATAAGAACCTATGATGGAAAAGAATCTGAAAAAGAATAGATACACGTATATATACACATACGTGTAACTGAATCACTTTGCTGTTCACCTGAAGCTAACACATTTTAGAAAAATAAAATAAAATTTCTATAAATAAAAAAAAATAGTATACTTGGAAAATCCTAGGGAATCTATCATAAAGTCAATAAAAGAATTTTTTAAAGTAGGATATTAAGTAGCAATGAAAAGTCAATAAAATTCACATACACAAATGATAACCAGTTAAATATACTAAATAAAAAATTCTCATTTACAACAGCAACAACATAAATAAAATATTTAAGAATAAACTTAAGAAATATCAAAAATTTATACAAAAAAACTATAAACATTCCTAGAAGACACTAAACTACACCTGAACAAATGTAAAGACATACCTTGTTCCTAAGTTACAAAGTCTTAACATCATTAAGATGTCACTATCAATTAATAAAATTAAAGTGATCCTGGTAAAAACTTCAATGAGGTTTTTCATGAAGCTACATAACTTGACTCTAGCGTTCACATGGAAAAGTAAACACATAAGAACAGCTAGGAACAATGCGAACTAGAAAAGCCCTGAAGGGGGACCAAAACTACCAGATATTGCAAAGCCTCTGTAATCAAAACACTACAATACTGGTTCATGAACACAGAAAGACGGAGCAATGGGACAGACAAGAAGTTCCAGAAATAAACCTAACTAAACCTAAACCTCTAGTCTGGAATCTCAAGTTACTGGGGCAAAGACTGTCCTTTCAGTGAAAGGGTTTTGGACAGCTGAACAGCCAACTGGGAAAAGAAAATTCACACCATATACAAGCATCAACTCCTAATGGATTAGAGACTAAATTTAAAAACTAACCTAATGCAAAAACTAGAAGAAAATACGAGCTCTCCTACAACCCCGTACAGGGAAAGGCTCTCCAATTTTAACTCAAACATCCAGAAGCAATATAAGACTGATAAATCTGATTACATGAAAATAAAACTTTGGTGTAGCAAATAATAACGCAGGTGAAGTCAAAAGGCATACAATGAACTGGAAGAAAATATTTGCATCGTACAGCTCAGATAAAGGCCTTACATACCCAACATGTAAGGAAGTTTTAAACTGAGGGGTGGGGGTCAAAATCTTCAGGAATAAAAGGCAAAACACAAGAACAGACAACTCATAAAACGGGGTCAAAATGACCCTCAGACATATGAAAAAAAACGATCAAATTCACTCAACGAAGATAAGTGAAATTTAAACTACACTGAGCTGCTACCATTCTGCTCACAAGATAAGCAATGACACCCCATTGGCAAGGGTGAAAGAAGTTCTCTCGTGCACTGGTGGCAACATGAACTGCCACAAGCCCCATGAAAGGGAATTTGACAAAACCACACCCCCACTTACCCCGGAGCCAGCAGCCCCACTCTAGAGATTTACCCTACAGCTTCGTCCCAACTATTCAAAAATCCACAAAGTTAGACTACAGATCATTTCTAATGTAAAATACTGGAAACTATCTAAATAAGCATAGGACACTGGTTGGAAAAAACATGGTACAGATAAACAATGGAGCAAATAAAAAAAGTAAAAGAAAAAAAAGAGGAAGACCTCTATGAACTGATAAGAAGTGACACCCAGATTTTAAGTGAATAAAACAACATGCAAAAGAGTATCTTCAGTGTAGGTAAGGGAAAATAAGATACATATATTTGCTTATCATTACAAAAAAGTACAGGAAGGATAAACCACAAATTTCTTGAATGCATTTTAAATATCCTATATATTTTTAAAAATTAAATCAATAAGAAAAGAATGGGAAATTTAAAAACTAAAAATCTTGGAAGAATAACAGACAAAACACAAGAATTCTTACTATACAAAAACAGGTATGGAAGAACAGGCGAAGGCAAAACTGAGTGGGAGTGATCAGAACTGGAGGTATTGGTGTAAGCTCATTATTTGTAAGTGATGCACACGTGTGAGTACACGCATACTTCCATGTGTATGCGTGTACATGCGTATGTGTAAGTACATATACATGCATGTATTTCCTGCCTCAGCTGCTGAAAGGATGGAGCAGGAGAGGTATAAAAGTTTGGAACATCTTATGCCAAAACGTAATCAAGTGCTCAAATGAATTGTGAGAGCGTATCACAAAGACATACATAGAAGCCAGCTTGAAAAGGCTACCGAGGCAAAATGGGACAATTTGAGCAAAAAATAAATTAGGTACAGTAGTCAATTGTAAATTATTGAAAATAATAGGAATTCATGAGTCAATAGTGACAATATATAAATATTTTAACACACAAAAAAAGGAGGGTTCTTTCTTGTAATAGAACACAGAGGGCTAAACGTGAAGGGAGGAAAGCATCACTTTAAAATCCAACAGGTAAAAACTGCATCAGGCAGTGGTTTCTATAATCTTGGAGAAAATTTTGAGGAGCTGCAAGATACCTGCATGGTTTTAAGAGTCCCCTCACATACTGCTTTATTAGATACAAGAGAAAGGGAGGAAAAGAAAGCAGTGGAGAAACTTGCCAGCAGCTTGACCAGATGATCAGAACTCGCATCACCTGTGAGGGAGGGTGGACCACCAGGTGTGCCCACTGACACCCTGACCAGGGCCCATCATCACGTGTGCACTATTCTGGCCAAGGATGAAGAACTCTATATAGTCATGAGGAAACATCGGACAGAGACAAAATGAGGAGAGTTCTACAAGTGATTTAAAAAAAAAAAAAAGGTCTATTAGGAAAAACTCTACTTTCCAAACTGTCAGTAAAAAAAAAAAGACCTTCTTTAAGGGTTTAGGAAATTTTCCAGATTAAAAGAGTCAAAAGAGACAGGACAGCTAAATGGAATACCTGACCCTAGACTAGATCCTGGAGCCTACATGGAAGGAAGGAAATGCTACATGGGACATTAGATCAAGTGATAGATTGAAATATGAATGGTAGACTAGATATACTGATATAAACGTATGGGGTGATAACAGTGCTGTTATTACGAAAGAATATCCCTGTTATTAGGGATACATAGCCCTAAAGGTAAAGGGAACACGGTGTATATAACCCACCCTCAAATGGTTCAGGACAAAAAATATATATACGGCCGGGATGAGGAGAGAGGGCGATGATACTGAAATCCCAACAACAGGTCAATCTAGGTAAATGGAATATGATATTATTTTTATTTTTTGAATTTTTAAAGTTTGAAATTATTTCCAAGTAAAGCCTTTAAAATGCATAATATACCAACACACAAGTATTCTTGAGAGA